AATGGTCAATCAAGTGTCATCAGTATGATTTGATAACAAATTATTACGTAAATCATTACATAATGAGACAAAATTTAACAAATGTGAAATGTGAAAAATTCTGTGAATTCATCAGTTTAATAAATAATTCCGTGAAAGATAGTTAATAAAAATCGACAAAATAGTGTTGGATTTGATTGTAGAATTTTTCCCTAGGGATTGAATACTTTGGACAATGCAAGAGAAAATGAAATTCGTCTTCAATTATACCAGAGTTACAAACAGGACAGAGTCTATCGTTGTGGGGAGTTTGATCATATGTCTTTCCACATACGTGGAACATCGGTCAGATCGGTTGTCTAGAGAAAGCAACCATCAGCATTATTGTTCGAGTAACTGGAAAAAATTATGTTCATATTGAACTCCATGGCTAATTTCTTCTTAGCTGCTCTGCTCTTTATTCGGCTCCTTCGTGTGTTTTTTAAACTTCAGTCAGTTTTCACTGACGCCGAGAGAAGACAAATTCATTATTTAAAAAAACTTTCATCCTTTTATCTTCCCGTGACAACGATATTTTATTTAAGAAGGCAATTTCCAGAAAACCAAACGTTTCTGAATTTTTTCTTAAACAATTAGCTTCCTTGGTTGTTACTTCTTTTCCGAGAGACCAAGTGGACACTTGCTTAATGACTGAACAGATCATGGTTAACATTCACTAACGCATATTTGCCATGACACGGGCAAATTATTAAAGAGGGTAATGTTCTTAACCACAGAATACCAAACGACTCAGCCACTATGCATGCATTCTATCTTACATCCGAAAAATTTTGTATAATTTTTACACTTCATGAAATGTCTCATTAACGCTCAACGACGAGTCACATTAAGGGAAAATTTTGCTAACATGGGAATAAAATAAAAAAGAAATGACGGTGTTGTTGTTTCACCCGCTAATGTAGTAATCGACCATAAATGTAATATTTGCTCCCTGCACATTCCAACTGCACTACCAGCCATAAATGCAAAATATCATTAACCATAAATGTAATAAAAATTTTCATTACAGCATTCACTCAAAATATGTCGCCGATTCTGATTGGCTAAAATCCCACGCATGATTCATCATAACCGGCTCTTCCAAATTTGGAAGAATTTTGCGATATTGAACTGATGATGGAATGTCCAAAAACGTAGAAACATAAAAATATGTTGTGATTTAAGCGATTTATCAGTACAGCCGATCGACGAAATATGCCTATTTTCTGTTATGACTGTTTACAATACACGATGGAAGGTCTTAATGCAAAGCGGCAATAACATGATAGTTCATCATATTATGTGCTTTACATCATTTAAGGACCAATTTAATCCTAGGAAGCGAAAATAATCGTTGAAAGTGCAAAACTTTGAAGTGGTGAACTCGGCAATATGCGCTATTTTTACTCTTTGTTACCGCAAAAATTTGGCCGCCGCCACTGAAGTGATTTTCCTTCCGAAAAATTTTATTTTGAAATATTTTCAAAAACTAATGCGGTTTCAATTACTTTTGGACTAAGATATATTCATGGGCAAAGTTTAAAGGAAATTGATTCTCCGACCCGAAACGCAGTGGACCGGTTTTAGGGAGACTCCCTCTTTTAAGTACTGATTCTTCTTTGGCCTCTGTCAAAGCATTAATCTTTTTATTGACGCTAAGTAACCTTTCAAACAAGATATTATTTTTGCCTTTCTGAGCTTCCATAAGTGGTCTCACACCTTCCTTCCACATTACCGTGTCTTCGTCCATACCTTCCTCCTGCCCCCAACCTATGGCTGTTGGTGCTGTTATTCCAAATCGCTTGAACTTGATATTTCATTGTGAGAGGGGCACTGATGATGATCCCGGAAATTGACACGCCAACTTTTCCTTTGAGGACGTTCATTATTCGTGGAAAGAGTTAAAAAATCAAGGTCTCGCGGCCAGAGCCCGTTGGAAGAATCGCAAAAAACGTCCTCGCCTCGGCGAACGAGATTCAAACAAATCTTCCGCTCATCACGAAAAGATTCCTCATACAGGAGATGCTCGATTGCATTGTTTTTAGTAGCATCGATGTCCGCGATATTCGATAACAGATGTTTCTCCCCCTCTATATCTCATTCCTCATCAATGTCACCAGTGCTAGAGTGTTAACAGAAGGTGTCATACTCGACCAAATAAGAGGGTATACTGGAATCCAGTATACCGCAACAACCCTTTGTTAAGAATGTTTACAAGCGTTCCCTCGCTCTCGGCCCCCCCCCCCCCCCCCCCGTTTTCCTGGTGTAGAGTTTAATTCGCTTCCCACTGACCGCTGCGCTCTACTATTTGAACACCTGGAACGGGCTACTGGTGGACAGAACCACTGCCTTGGTCTTGGTGGGGTTAAGTGCTAGGTGAGAGTCAGTAGACCAAGAGCTGAGGGCATTGAGTATACAGTTAAGATCTTCAGTTTTTGAGGGAACTTGAAACAAGACCCATGACACTTAAAAAGGTTAAAACTTACAAGTAACGTAGCTCAGTTAAATTGCTGAAAATCCCAGGCGGAAGCTCTTCAATTTTGTTCTTCTGCAGATACCTGCAAGAATAAGTTATTTTAACATACTTCATGACAAGAATGCATGATTCATACACAAATTTGAGTCAGAAAAACGCCTGATCCTAGCAACAACAATATAAGCTTTATTTGCATGACTATATGAAGTTACAGTATTGCAAGCTTTAAGATAAATTTATACAATTAATACTAATGACTACAATGCTATGATTACAATGGTCAATCAAGTGTCATCAGTATGATTTGATAACAAATTATTACGTAAATCATTACATAATGAGACAAAATTTAACAAATGTGAAATGTGAAAAATTCTGTGAATTCATCAGTTTAATAAATAATTCCGTGAAAGATAGTTAATAAAAATCGACAAAATAGTGTTGGATTTGATTGTAGAATTTTTCCCTAGGGATTGAATACTTTGGACAATGCAAGAGAAAATGAAATTCGTCTTCAATTATACCAGAGTTACAAACAGGACAGAGTCTATCGTTGTGGGGAGTTTGATCATATGTCTTTCCACATACGTGGAACATCGGTCAGATCGGTTGTCTAGAGAAAGCAACCATCAGCATTATTGTTCGAGTAACTGGAAAAAATTATGTTCATATTGAACTCCATGGCTAATTTCTTCTTAGCTGCTCTGCTCTTTATTCGGCTCCTTCGTGTGTTTTTTAAACTTCAGTCAGTTTTCACTGACGCCGAGAGAAGACAAATTCATTATTTAAAAAAACTTTCATCCTTTTATCTTCCCATGACAACGATATTTTATTAAAGAAGGGAATTTCCAGAAAACCAAACGTTTCTGAATTTTTTCTTAAACAATTAGCTTCCTTGGTTGTTACTTCTTTTCCGAGAGAGCAAGTGGACACTTGCTTAATGATTGAACAGATCATGGTTAACATTCACTAACGCATATTTGCCATGACACGGGTAAATTATTAAAGAGGGTAATGTTCTTAACCACAGAACACCAAACGACTCAGCCACTATGCATGCATTCTATCTTACATCCGAAAAATTTTGTATAATTTTTACACTTCATGAAATGTCTCATTAACGCTCAACGACGAGTCACATTAAGGGAAAATTTTGCTAACATGGGAATAAAATAAAAAAGAAATGACGGTGTTGTTGTTTCACCCGCTAATGTAGTAATCGACCATAAATGTAATATTTGCTCCCTGCACATTCCAACTGCACTACCAGCCATAAATGCAAAATATCATTAACCATAAATGTAATAAAAATTTTCATTACAGCATTCACTCAAAATATGTCGCCGATTCTGATTGGCTAAAATCCCACGCATGATTCATCATAACCGGCTCTTCCAAATTTGGAAGAATTTTGCGATATTGAACTGATGATATTGAACTGATGACGTCAATTTTGTGCAACAAAATTGACAGATTATTGAACCGTTAACAGAGAAGACCTGGGGACAAGTTTGAGTTGTTTTCGTAGTGAGTACATAAAAGGAAGAACATTTTACTCGTTTCACGGCGAACTATGTCTAATACATAGCAAGAACAACAAGAATACAACTCGACGACATCCGCTATTTGTAGTGTATTTACAGACCTGAATAGCCCTTTATCTCCTAAACTTCCCGATAAACATGCACTATCGAGATGAACTTAACACCGACGGGGTTAAGCATGTTTTAGCTTGCTTTTAAACTAGAGGAAATGATTTGAATTAATAATAAAACAATTATTGAATTCGGCTTTGGTATCATCTGAAAAATTATAAAGATCTTAGAGGGTGTTATCCGCCTCGGCCTACGTCCTTAGCGGATAACACCATAATTCTTCAGAACATAAAAAGGCGAATTCAGTCATTGTTAAATATTTTTAACCAGAGATGTAATAATCTTGTCTTTAGGAGAATAATTTCAATGTTTTTCTAGAGGAACAATTATATGAAAACTGAAAAAAATGAAAAAATACACAAATTAACGGTCAGCAAAAACGATGACTGAAAAACTCTCAGTAAATTCCATGCACAAGTTCGTGTCGTTTTAAATGAAATCATCACCGCTGACCGGAAATCCTCACTTACGGAAAAGCAACAAGAAATAACTCTGCTAAATATTCATTAAACTTTTCATATTATTGTTGGTTTAAAAGTGTTGTAAGAGAATTAAGAGCAAAGCGTTTTGAAATTCTCGTGAAGCATCTCCATTCTGAGTGTAATCAGGATCTCATCTTCTTCAACTCTAATGTGGGGAAGGGTTGTGATCCTTCTTCTGTATAGAAGATGGTGTTGAGTGAGCGTTTCTTCATCGTGTGCGTTGGAAGAAACATGTGTCAGTGGTCTGTCATTCAGGATAGCTTCAATTTAAATAACAATGGTGTACGGAGTATTAAAAGTTATAAATGATCGTCCCAGGACCTTCTTCAGAGTTATCTTGGTGACGTCTATTAACCTTTCCCAGAATCCTCCACGCTAAGGTCCTCTACATTCTGTTTGCTCAGTGACGCTTTCAATATCTGCGATGGAAACAACGCGGTTACCTCTTCAGCAGCTAACAGGTACGTAGAAGCATTATCAGATATCGTTTGTTGGGGGACAGGCCTTCGAGCGGCAAATCCTCGTTACGCCAGAACGAAGGTTTGTACCGAAAAATCTGGAACGACTATAAGGTGGACTACTCTTGTTGTAGCACATGTAAAGAAGCAGATGTAATCTTTCTTTTCGGCTACAGCTTCGCGGATGTATAAAGCTCTTGTAAAGTCCACGTCAGTGACTGCAAATTTTTCTGCTTGAGTGAGTCTTTACTTTGGAAGAAGAGATGGGTCAGGAATGTTGTACAGCAGTCCTATAATCGTCTTGCAAGTGACGCAGTGATTGATCGCTTTCCTGACATGCTGACGTCCAGCAGGAATCCAATATTTCAGACGTACGAGATTCAGTGTGGAAATCGCGCAAGCATATAATTGATTAACATACGTGTCACTGATTTCTAATTCTGTAAATGGGTCTTTGGGTGGTGGGAAGAGTAACAACTTAGTAGATTTGGAAACTGGCGCATCGTGAACCCTCTTGCCGAGACGGATAACACCAGTATCATCTAAAAAGAGGAGTAGCTGTCGAACTGGTGGTTTTCTAGGCGTAGATTTGGAGAGCATGCTGGAGATCTCCTTGTGGTAACTCACTTGCTGACGATTCTTGATCCATTCTCTCTCGACATGAGCCAGTTCTTGTGTAGTCAGGCCTCCTTTGTTCTTGTTCTGCTTTCTGGTTTTGCGCACAAACCGCAGGACGTAGGGTTTGACTCAGGTGAGCCTGAGAATGGTGCTGATAGACCTGTTGGTTATCTATGGTCCATGGTTGGAGATAATCTTGGAGCGGTAAACTTGGAAGGGGCTGTTAGGGTCACTGAGGTAACTCAATTAGAAGAAGCGTGTAGCATCCCTGTCTTGTTCACCAAGACTGATGTCTAAGAAAGCTTTCTTCGTATCAGTTGCAAAACCAAACGTATGGCGGGGGAATCGGGGTAGGATAGCAGCTAAGTTATTAAGAATAGGTGACCCTGGTAACAGACTCTCATTAAGGCTAGGGTGTTCTTGGGATTGTCGACAGCTGCAGTCTCACACGACGCGTATTGGGGTGGTTGCAGATTCCTTAAACACGGCATGGTGTGGGAGATAGTGGCAGGTACCCACAGTGGTTTCGGGGTGTGTCACTCTTTCTGCTAAGACCCGTTTCTCCTGTTCAATGATAATGTCACTGTCCATTTTCACTTTCTGAAGGTCTCTTGCAAGATGCTGCCCCATTGAACTTGTTCTTCTTTCAGTGATGTTGCGTTAGTTAAGCTGTCACTCTTTATAATAACACTATTATAAAGAGTGACAGCTTATTTTATTACAAAGTGCGATGGTCTGTTATTAAAAAGTGCGACAATCTTATTACAAAGTGCGACAGTTATTACAAAGTGCGACGATTATTACGAAGTGCGACAGAACAACGTGAGAGTTTCTGAAACTTGGAATCAGTAAGCATCCAGCCCGTCGAGATCAGAGTAGATCACAATAAGTCATCATCATCAACCGCCCAAGGCAAAAGCAGAATTACTGTATATATCAGCTGAACAGTCCAGTGGGTTCAGAGAAATATGTAACGTTAGACAACCGGGCTTGGCCTTAAGAGCTCACTAGTAATCGATATAAACAATAGANGAGGTAACTCAATTAGAAGAAGCGTGTAGCATCCCTGTCTTGTTCACCAAGACTGATGTCTAAGAAAGCTTTCTTCGTATCAGTTGCAAAACCAAACGTATGGCGGGGGAATCGGGGTAGGATAGCAGCTAAGTTATTAAGAATAGGTGACCCTGGTAACAGACTCTCATTAAGGCTAGGGTGTTCTTGGGATTGTCGACAGCTGCAGTCTCACACGACGCGTATTGGGGTGGTTGCAGATTCCTTAAACACGGCATGGTGTGGGAGATAGTGGCAGGTACCCACAGTGGTTTCGGGGTGTGTCACTCTTTCTGCTAAGACCCGTTTCTCCTGTTCAATGATAATGTCACTGTCCATTTTCACTTTCTGAAGGTCTCTTGCAAGATGCTGCCCCATTGAACTTGTTCTTCTTTCAGTGATGTTGCGTTAGTTAAGCTGTCACTCTTTATAATAACACTATTATAAAGAGTGACAGCTTATTTTATTACAAAGTGCGATGGTCTGTTATTAAAAAGTGCGACAATCTTATTACAAAGTGCGACAGTTATTACAAAGTGCGACGATTATTACGAAGTGCGACAGAACAACGTGAGAGTTTCTGAAACTTGGAATCAGTAAGCATCCAGCCCGTCGAGATCAGAGTAGATCACAATAAGTCATCATCATCAACCGCCCAAGGCAAAAGCAGAATTACTGTATATATCAGCTGAACAGTCCAGTGGGTTCAGAGAAATATGTAACGTTAGACAACCGGGCTTGGCCTTAAGAGCTCACTAGTAATCGATATAAACAATAGAAAAGGCAATAAGGAATTTCTGCTTAGAAAATTTAACGAAGGGGCGAGAAGTGGATATAAAGCAGACCCTGTCCAGTTAGCTAAGGAAATAAAAGAAGTGAGACACGAAGGAGGCCATGTAAAGTGCCCAATCGAGTACCGTACCAAAAAGAGTACGACGCAAAAATTATGACAAATCATTAAATTCCTGAGTCGACGCGATGACAACTCATGACCTGATGAGGACGGAAACCACTCAAATGAGTAAAAAAACTTAGACAACTTAGACAATTGCAAGAATTAAACGACTGAGCTCTTTGAAGTTAGATGTTTTGTTTATTCATTTAATTGTTTTAGTAAAATACATTTCATGACTGGTTGCAACGAACAGCCATAAATACGCCTCTGATCAAAGCACTACAATGACATTTGATAACATGTTCACCCGCGGTGTGCGTAGGATGAAAGTTAACACGGCATCCAACTAGGCCAAATTTTAACGTCTGTCACACATTCCCTGTTCCCCGCCGTGCTTTATGCCAAACAAAATGAAGGCTATCTCAGAATGCGTAAAATTTTAATATGAATTAATTTCTACTTCCTTATAAAGATATGGAAAATGGAAAAATGTAAGTACACAGAGCAAGGAAATATAGTTTTTCCTTTTCTTTTTCAATTTTAGTCAAACAATCACGCAATCTTTCACAACGCGATTTAGGTCAAGCCAAATGTAGTACAAGATGGAGAATGTGTCAGCCCAGTTAAACTGATAAAAAGAAAAAAGCGCGTTCTAAAGTAACTTTTCTGCTACGTGCCGAATAGTGCGTTGCGAGGTGTAAAATGCTGTAACTTAACTATTTCTAACCTGATGTAAGGAAAACTGTACGCTCTTTACCCCTAACAAGGGGCGTGCCAGATAGAGTGCGAGAGAGAAAATGCTGTAACTTAACCTCCCTACCCTGATGTAAGGAAAACTGTACGCTTTTTACCCTTAACATGATGGGTGCCGAATAGAGTACGAGAGAGAAAATGCTGTAACTTAACTTTTCCTCACCTGATGTAAGCAAAACTGTACGCTCTTTACCCCTGACACGCAGCGTGCCGAATAGAGTACGAGAGCCGGAGGAAATGCTGTAACTTTCCTAACCTGATGTAAGGAAGACTGTACGCTCTTTACCCTTAACATGATGCGTGCCGAATAGAGTACGACAGAGAAAATGCTGCAACTTAACTTTTCCTCCCCTGATATCATCTGCATATATATGGATACTAGGTAGGTGGTTCTTAACGACGTTGAATCTCCCAGATACATGATAAATAAAATCGGCCCCAGGCCGCTATAGGTACCTTGTGGAACACCACAGTCTATGTTAAAACTTTTAGGGGAGTTCTAGTTGATGAAGACACGCTGAGTGGGTGTCCGGTTGTGAAACCCAACCAAGATGCCGTGTAGCAAAGTTTTGAAAGGATTTAAGGTACCTGATTTGAGCATTAAAGTGAAAGAATGTCTTGAAATAAGAATTTCTTATTAGAAATCTATCATACAATGATTGTAAGAGTAAGAGGATTTATGTTGACTTGAATTACAATAACATAACTGTCTCGAATTCTCCTAACCCCTCTCGTGTTCATATCAGGCTATGCCGCAACACGGAAAACGTTTTCTATTGCTTAAAGATTTAATAAAAACCTATAATAACAACTAAGTCTAATGTAAAAGGAAGTCTGACGCTTCATGGCTCCTTGAGACTTCCTCGCCTTTTGAGAGTGTTTTCTCTCGAAATGAGTATTTGAGCTCTGTTTGCTGGGACACAAAATAATCACAAACCCATTATGGGATATTTTGGCCTCGAGAGTGGCCGTTTATTAAATTAAAGCATATAAAGCTTGGAAAAGCAGATATACAAGAACATTATCCCAGCAAAGGTGAGGGCACATCGGCCACAGCCCAGAGCAAGGAAAGGGTGTTTCTGACTGTCTTGTAACCCAAGGAAGGAGGCCTTGTGCCTCGCTTTCTTGACTTACATGACCCGTGACGTGAATGACACTTTCGTGACAAATCACCCTGATGACAGGAAAACCCTCCTTTGCTGGTAGGTGGAGATAAACAATATTGATCAGTCACATTCAGCTTAAAACCATTTATTTCTTTTAGAAATAATTCTCATTTTTTTTGCTTCAGAAATGTTTAACTCATCTGAACGGAAAAAACTCTAACGCGGCTTTCTTTATCCTTACGACCTGAAGTAGAGGTGGGTGCTGTATGCTGGACAAGGCATCGTTAACTTGATGAAACTGGGAGTGAAAAATTTCAAGGCATCTTTTCTTTCTTGATAAAGGTGACGAAATGTTATTAAGGAAGTAAGCAACTCGAGAATTCCAACGTTTTGTATACTAGGAATCTCAACGTGAAAGTGAGTGCTGACGTTGGAACCGGAAGATATCGCCTATGGGCAGGAGCGTATCAAGAAACAGTCTACTGTATTGTTCTAAATTCTAAATTCACCCATCAAGGTTTTAAGCAGGAAGCTTTTTAAATTGTTTAAGGTGACGCCCCTCCAGAACAAACCCAAGCTTTTACGAGTGATCGTTAATTCTTGGGCGAAGAAGAAGAAGCACTTCCAGAATCAGTGTAACACATACGTGTTGCACTGTTCAAGGGAATAAGTATGATGTTTAGAAACGGCATAGCTAGCACTATTGTAAATTCTTAGCAAGCGAACATCGCAGAAAGCTTTAGCCCAGTCGGGGCTTTTAAAAAAAGTTACCGAGCAAACAGGCAAGGTAAAGTAATTCTAGCAGAGCAATTTTAGCAATAGTTAGTCAAGCAAGGTTATCAGAAAAGTAAGAGACAAGGTGAAGGAATTCTGAGATATAACACGATAGAAACAGACGAAAAGACGTGCCTGAATTTCGGTTAATCCAAACATGGTTGCTTCTGACTTGTATGCACTCAAAGGACTGCGGTTGAAAAACGAAGCCAAACTATGGGTAATAATTCGACCGTGGACCCCCTCCCCATCCTTCCTCCCAGCCCGCAGGTGCCAAAAGAGGTGATTGGATCCTTCGAGGTTAGTTATATAAAAATTTATGAAATAGTGCATCGTTCACTTACAGTCTTTGCAAGGAAGAGAGAGTTGAAAATATCCCTGACGGGATCTCTTTGATCTCGTTGTTTCTCAAATCTCTAGGTAAACAAATGAATATACTGTGGATTAGATAAACGGAAATCGTGGAATGTTTTTACATAGTTTTCAATTGATTATCAACTATCACATGAAGGAAAAGGGTTGCAACTCTCAGTGATCAGTTAAGTTGGATAATTTTTCTGTAACCGTTGTGGTCTTGTCCTGTATATCCTGCTCAAACGAAATGTGAACATGGACTTTATTTTCCTCTCTGCCGTAGGTTCCTTAATACAATTAACAAT